AGAGAGAGAGAGAGAGAGAGAGAGAGAGAGAGAGAGAGAGAGAGAGAAGCAAAAGGCCTTAGCCTAGGTATGTCAGAAGTAGGGAGAGCTGCCCAGCGCCCCAGAGGTCATCCGTGTGCTTGGTGCTGGTCGGGCTGTCCTCGGGCTGGACAGGCAGCTTTGCTTCCGGTCGCTGAAGAGCCCTGGCCTGTCAGGAAGAAAACAGGAGTCTCCTGAGCATTTGTGGCCTGCTTCCTTTCACGTGTGCCGGTTCCCCTCGGGTTCAGGGTTACAAAGCCGGTTCATTCCAGTCAGAGGGTTGGCAGCTTGATCAATGATTTCCTGTGCCTCGATGAAAAATGTCTTTCCTCTTTAGAAGATAAATTTGTGTTTCGAGGGGTCGATGCTCTTTGATTTCTTTATAATAGAACTTCATTCCAATCAGTTTCCTAACTGTGACCTGTTCTGGGGCTCTTGGCCAAAACAAATTCTGCTAAAGACAATGAACAGAAACTACAGGAAAATGGTGCTCCTTAATTTAAGTCATGGATAAGGCTCTATAGATCAGGAAACAGGGTCCCGGGAGGGAAGAAGTATGTCCAGGATCACGTCGGCACTTCTGGCTGGCTCCACTTCCCTGCAGGCCGTGAGGAGGGTGTGGGGGATCTGTCATGTTTAAAAACTTGTTAAGACAGCCTTCCAGTTCACGCTGGACATACAGGCTGCCAGGAAATACTCAGCCTATTTGATTCTTGCTCCCCTCCAAACTTTCAGTTTTGTAAGTTGGGCACACAGGATTTGTTTTCTTTTAAAGTAGTGACGCTTATGCTTTATTAATGGTCTCTGATTGTCTCATAAAAGTCATGCATGATGACCTGGTAGAACAGGGCTTGGCAGGGTTCGGGGCTAAATGGGTTCTGTGAAGTTTTATCAGCACGTAATACACATTCCAGATCTTATCTGTACCAAGGCAGAGTTGAGTAACTGTAGCCAAGAGCCCAGGCTTTGCAAAACCTAACATGCTCTCACCCTCCACAGATTTTTTTTTTAATTCAAGAAAGGGTCTTTTTTTTAAAAATTTTTATTTTATGTGTCTTGATGTGAAGGTGTCAGATCCCTTGGAACTGGAGTTACAGACAATTGTGAGCTGCCTTGTGGGTGCTGGGAGCAACCAGTGCCCTTAGCTGCTGAACCATCCCTCCAGCCCTGAGACAGGGCCTTAAAACATGTTATGTAGCTGAGGCTGGTCTTGAACCCCTGATCCTTTTGCCTCTACCTTCCAAGTGCTGGAATTACAATCCTGTGCCATTGTGTCCAGTTTATAGGAAAAAGTCTGGTCAAGTCCTGTAAATGAAAAACAGTTAAGAAAAGGGAACTCATTGTCTGTGTCTCTCCCAGAGAGTTAGATTGATTGTGGTTTAACCATTTTCACAGCTAAATGTTTTCAGACTCTTTGATTTCCCAGCAATCAGCTCCTGGAAGGAGAGTAGATGGCTTTTAGATCTGGTTCATCTATGACCCAATAATACTTAGTATAGGACAGTAGTTCTCAACCCATGGGTCATGACCCCCTTAGGGTCACAGCTCAGATACTTACAATATGATTTGTAACATGACGGCCGGCTTGTTGGGGTTTCTGTCCCACCCGGTACTCCACAGCCAGCAAGTCCCAAAGAAAATCACACAGAGTCTACTTTAGGTTATAAACTGATTGGCCCATTAGGTCGGGCTACTTATTAGCTCTTATAACATATATTACCCCATTATCCTTATCTACGTTAGCCACATGACTCAGCACCTTTTCTAGCTGGGCAGCTCACATGTTGCTTCTTCGGTGGTCTGGGCAGGAGTGGCAGAGGGAGCTTCCTCCTTCCCAGAATTCTCCTGTTCTCATTGTATCACCTCTACTTCCTGTCTGGTTGACCTGCCTATACTTCCTGCCTGGCCAATCAGCGTTTTATTAAGATACATGATTGACAGAATACAGATAGTTCTCCCACACCAATGATTCATACATAACAGTAGCAAACTTACAGTTATGAAGTAGCAATGAAAATAATATTATGGATTGGGGTCACCACAGCGTGAGGAACTGTTTTAAAGGGTCATGGCATCAGGAAGGTTGAGAACCTCTGGTGTAGAAGTTCTCAACTTGCACAAATATGCCAGCTGCACCTTGCCAATAGTAACAAGCGATGGGAGACCACTTGCCCAGCGTCCACAAGGCCCTGGGTTCAGTCCTCAGCTCGGGGTTGGGGGAGTATGTTAAGTAAATAAGCAAGATCTCCTTTGCTAATGGGTTTGGTTTTGGTTCCACTGATCCAGGGGCAGGTTCAAGGCGGCCGTGTGTGTCCTGTCTGTAGTTGCAACTTGCCTGGCATTCGTCAAGCCTGCCATCAACAATATCTCTCTGATGACTCTAGGGATCCCATGCACTGCCCTGCTCATTACGGAACTCAAGAGGTGAGTGCCCTTCTTCCTGTCTTTAGTTGCCTGGGTAACCACTTTATTCTGGGAAGTTGTAGATGAAGACTTCAGGTTCATAAGCTGAAGCATTTTAAAAAAATACTCTTTTATTTTTAAAATACATCTTTAAATGTATCTGTTTTATTTTGTGCATATATGTATATGTCTGAATGTGTGTATCGCACCATGCACATGCACCAGGAGTCCTCAGAGATCAGAAGAGTAGTCCAATTCCCAGAACTGGAGTCTCATATGTTCTGAGCTGCCTGACCTGTGTGCGGAGACCAGATCTGGGTCCTCTGGGAGAGAAGAGTGCTCTTAACTTCGAAGCCATCTCTCCTGCCCTTCCAGAAACATGTTATGTGGGCTGGAGAGATGGCTCAATGGTTAAGAGCACTTGTTGCTCTTTCAGGGATCCTTGGTTTCGTTCCCAGCATCTACATGGCAGCTCCCAAGCATCTGCCACCCTCTTCTGATCTCTGCAGGCACTGCGCATGCACCAGGTATGCACATGGTGCACGTTCGTTCAGGTGAAACATTCATACACACATAATAAAAAGAATGAAAATGTATTTTATTTTAGGTCTTGGGTGTAGTCTTCTATCCACAAAATACATATTAAATCACTGATCTAATTTTAAGATTTGATGAAAACATTGTTTTTGCTGTAGTTGCACCTAAAATGTATTTGAATTCATACTTTCTCTTATTTTGAGCACTAAATGTCTTGGTTTTTGAAACCAGCTCTTGTTATGTAGCCAAGGCTGGCCAGGCTGGGACTAACTCATACTGATAGTCCCATCATAGCTTCCTTAGTGCTGGGATTATAAATGTGACATACCATACCCATGAGGGAGTTTTTAAAAACAACAAAAGACTTTTATGTGTGTGAATGCTTTGTCTGTGTATATGTCTGTGTACCACTTGCATGCCTGGTATTTGGAGAAGCCAGAAGAAGGAATCAGATTCCCTGAATCTGGTGTTAAAGATGGTTGTGAGCCATCATGTGGATGCTGGGAGTTGATCCTGGGCTCCCTGGAAGAGTAGTCTGTGCTCTTAAACCCTTGAGCCATCTCTGCAGCCTCCAAATGTTTTTATAAAAAAAAATAATTTTATTACATTTGTTCTTTGATAATTTCATACATGTGTATCATATATTCTGGTTTCTCTCACCCTCCCAACCTTGTCAACACCTTCATCCTTCCCTACAAATCCATTGCTCACATTTTGTCTTTTTGGTTTGCAACCCACTGAGTTTAACCAGGGCTGTCTGTATGAGTACGGGCTTGGAGCGGTCTGTTGGAGCCTGTCTGGCTCACCTATGAGTACACGCCTGAAGCCGAGACTGCTCTCCCCCCAGAATTCACCAGTTGCCAGTGGCTCATCAGGCAGCGACAGGGTTCCATGAACTGCCCTCTGGTCAGTGACTGACAACTGAAGACCCAACCAGTGTAAACCTAGTGGGAGCAGCAGCCAATGCTACTGTGTGATCATAGTTGTACCGGCTATGCCTGCTCAGAAGATGGCATTTTGCAGCCCTTCATATCTTCCAGTTCTTAGAGTCTTTCCAACTCCTCTTCCTCCCTGTCCCGTGAGTGTTAGAAGGGGTGACATCGATGTCCTGTGTCGGGCTGAGTACTCAGGCAGCCCTTATTCTCAGCATTTGAGCAGACAGCCACGAGTCCCTGCATTCACTGCTGTTCGTGTGTCTATGAACGTAAACGCAAACACTTAGAAGGCAGTTTGGGTCCATGTTGGTTTAGTTGACCCCTCAGCTATGGGTTTGACGAGGTTTGCAGTACCACAGTTCTGAGCGTCTTAACTGAAGTTTCGTCTTTGTCCCTCAGATTGTATGTAGTACTGTGCGAGCTCAGTTTAGGAGATGACAAGTTCTTTCTGGTTGCTTTGCTTTCCAGAGCTGCTCTGCTCATCAGCGATAGCATCCAGGGGCAGAAGTGGCTGAAGAGGCACTTGAATGTGCTACCTGGCAGCCAAAGGATGCTGTCAGGTTTCCTATAGTTGGCTTCTCTGTGAGGCCAGCAAGGATAGGTTGGTAAGAGACCTGTTTTAGAAGCCAACTGACTTGACCCTAGAAGAACAGCTATAGTGGTCTAAAAGCATAAAACTGGACAAACCAAGGCATCCTTATTCTCCGATAAGCTTAATAAAAGACCCACATTTATGTATTTATTGTGTGTACATGTGTGTGGGTATGCCTGTGTCAAATCGCGCATGTGGAGGTTGGAGGATAGTTTGTGGGAGCTAATTTTCTCCTTTCACCAAATGGGTTCTGGGGACCAAACTCAAGTTGTCAGGTTTGCACCAAGTGCTACTACCCACCGAATCATCACGACAGCTCCTTACGTTTTTCTTTTTTCTTTCTTTTTTTGAGACAGTTTTTCACGTGACCGAGGGTAGCCTTGAACTCACTATATAGTTAGGCTGTCCTTGAACTCACCCTCCTGCAGCCACCTCCTGGGCGTTAGGATCGCAAATATGTACCACTGCACCTGTCTGTAGTAAGCTTAATTTATGGACATCTAGGAGGTTGAATAGCTAAAACCCCATTGTTTGGGGTGGAGTATAGAGTCAAGGGGGCTTGTGAGGAGGTAATGGCAGGGCGTAGCGGTAGGACAGGAAAAGGAATGACAGCAAATAAAGGAAGGATTTCTTGGTCCATTACATGAAAAATTGTAAAATTAGATATGGAGGTGATGGGGAAACACCTCTCAATATGCTAGCCCTCTGTAGTGTGTGCTTTAAGTGGGTGGATTTTACGGTACATGGATTATAACCCAGTGAAGTTATTAACAAAACGGTAAGCTCCAAGAACACGCCAGGTGTCTCTGTTTCTCCAGCCATGGATTTGTTCAAACTGCACGTTTCCCACATAGGCGTGTCCAGCTCCTCTCTGCTTCTCTGTAGCAGTTTGCTCTCAGGGATGCTGAGGAGATGCAGGGAGGGAGAAAGCATAGTCTATCCTGAATGCCTCATGATCTTGTCATCGGTAATACCGCGTAAGTCTGGAGCCGTTTTCTGCTACAGACCTAGGCTGCTTCTCAGGGAGAGATCTTGGAATAAAGTTGGTGTTGATCCATTGTCCTCTCTGATTGCTCACTCTCTGTGCGTTTAAGACTTAGCCATCACTGAAGTGTGGGCTTGAATTTCTTTTGGCCACAGTGACCACAGGGTTGCTCAGAGAAATGCACGCCTGTCCTGTGACCAGGGTGACTGGCTAAGGCCTGTGTCTGCAGCTGTGGGGCACAGTGGCTTGCTTCTCTGTCATGCGTGGCCAGGCTTTTGAGAATATCGTCTCTGTCTGTTGGCCTTTTTTTCTGGGCCACACCTTCTCCATTTCCTCTCATCATGGTTTCCCTCAACATCTTTAGTGTGAAGTTACTGATGGCCGTGTTCAAATGCTGGTTCCTATCACAAAACTGCTTTGTTGGAGAAAAACTGGAAAATATAGACAAGCATAAAAGAAAACAGTCTTTTATTAAATAAGATATTTGGTAGTGCTCAGGGCAAAGCTTTGCTCATTTCACTGAATGAAGATAACCAGAGTTTCCTCATTGTCTCATGGTGATGGCTGCTACCCTTCTGTTGCTGCTTCCCTAGTTTCTATCCTTTGCCATCTTATACGTTTACTTAAAACATTGGCCCAATAGTATGCAGCTTTATAAAAATGGGTTACTTCTTTTCAAGTTACTCTGAAATGTGGTTCTCTCACTTGGCGTGTGTTATAGACATCTTTCCCAGGAAACAAGTAGAACTTTCCAGATTGTCTTTAACACCTGCATAGATGTGAACTTAGGGTGTGGTGTACCCCCGGAATCCCAGCACTGGGGGTAGAGACAGCAGCCTCTTTGCAACAGATTCAGTTCAATGCCATTGGGGGGTTACTTGAGATCCTGTCTCAAAAACAAACTAAAAAGAGGGAGAGCAAGAAAATCTGAATTATGGCTATATAAAATTTAGTTAATTTTTGATCATTTAGAGTTCAAAATAGTATAATAATTTTCCACTATTATAAATGCCTATGTAATGAACATCTTTGTGCATTTTGGTCTGTAATAACTATGTTTAAGCTTACAAACTGGAACCGAAAACCTCTGTCTAGTTATAAAGTTATGTCAGGAATGAGGACTCTTGGGCTGTCTGGGGAATTGGGAAGCCACCCCCCTCCTCATTTTCTTCCCTTAGCTTCTGTTGTTCCGCTTGGCTGTTTCTACTGTACTCCTGGCCTTCCTGAGGGTTCTCCAAACTTGAGCCTTTTCATTTATTTCTTGGAGGTCTCATTCACCCCGAGTCCAATATCTTGTCCCCTGAAATCTAGTCTCACATTTTCTTTTTGTTTGTTTGTTTTTGTTTCTTAGAGACAGGGTTTCTTAGTAGCCCTGAGAGTCCTGGAACTTGCCCTGTAGACCAGTCTGGCCTTGAACTCACAGAGATCCACCTGCCTCTGCCTCCCAAGTGCTAGGTTTAAAATGTGTGCCACCACCGCCTGACTCGGTCTCATATTTTCAACTGTATGCTGGGTATCCTCCATCAGACTGTCTGTCCCCCAATACTCAAGGCTCTGGTTTGTCTCCACCCTTCCGTGTGCTACCTCACTGTTTCTCTCACCGCCCTCCACAAATCCTATTTTAAAATTCCCAAATGAAAACTAACAAGGTGGGTGGTGGTGGCGCATGCCTTTTTTTCCAGCACTCAGGAGGCAAAGACAGATGACTCTGTGGCCAGCCTGGTCTACAGAGTGAGTTTGAGGACCACCAGGGCTACAGAGAGAAAACCCTGTCTCGAAAAACTAAGCAACAACTGAGCAGTGGTGGCCTGCGCATCACTCAGGTGGATCTCTGTGAGTTTGAGGCCAGCCTGGTCTACAAGAGCTTGTTCCAGGGTAGCTAGGGCTGTCACACAGAGAAACCCTGCCTTGAAAAACCAAGAACAAAAGAAAAGAAAAAAAAGAAAAGAAAAGGAAAAAAGAAAAAGAAATGAAGAAAAGACAAACCAAACAACAACCAAATTTCTCAAATGATAAAGGCACCGCTGTTGCTAATGCCATTCATTGCGCCCCAAAATCTCCTGCCCCTGCAAAGGACCTCTGTCTTTCACAGGAACTCTTTGGCCAATGTTTCCCATTCCCCACTTCCCACCCTCACACCTCTCCAGTAGGCCACTGCATCTGTTTTCTGCCTCCTCTTTTCTCCCCTAGTCTTCTTCCTTAAAGGGGATAGTTTTCATATTGCCCCTTTGTCCTTACACAAGCCTTTAGTGGCTCCGTAATTGCTGTCTCGCTTTCTCTGACTTTGCTTCCTTCCCTGTGCCTGGTGACCAGTCGGTCTGGACCGGCTCCTTACTTTTTTTTTCCCCTCTTCAGCTCGTACTTGCTTGCACTTTGTCCTCCCAGTCAGCAGCCCTTCCCCACCCCTGCTCTGCAAAGACCCAGCCTTCCTATATCAGCTTCTTAGAGGCCAGCTCCTTGGGGATTTCCTATCCCTTTCTTCTTCCTCAGTTAGCCTGGCGTCTCTCTTCCCAGACTCTGTGCCTTTACATTGGGTTTAATGTGTGTTCCCATGAATATGGATAATTTTCTTCTTCTCTCTTTCTGGTATATGATTCAAAGGCAGAAATTATACCTATCTGTACATTTTCCAAGGTGCATATTACTTCTGAAAATTCTCAAGTCTGTATTCGCAAGGTAGCTCTATTTCATTTTAGATTCTCATGATTGCTTGAGAATGTAGTAGAAAATGCTGGAAGAAACTTGGGATCAGGAGCTAGACAACACTAAGTTGGGAGCTTGACTTTGCCTTCAAGTAGCTCAGAAATTCAGGCATTTTCTTCACTTCCTTGGGTCTTCCATAATAAGATTAAGGTCTGTTAAAAAAAAATTGAGGGCTGAAGAGATGGCTCAGTGGTTTAGAGCGCTGGTTGCTCTTCCAGAGGACCCCAGTTCAAATCCCAGCACCCACATGGCACCTTCCAACTAGTTCCAGAGGATTCAGCACCCTTGCACAGATACATGCAGGCAAAATATAAAATAAATAAATCATTAAAAAATGAATAAACAAAGCTGGGGGCCCTGGCAACATGTAAGAAACTAAGACAGAGCTGCCGGTTCAGAGAGAATTTGTCTCAACAAATATGGCGGCAAACTAAACAACACAGTTTATGTCTTTGATCTTCCAATGAGTGTAAATAAGTTGTATCTAGTGCAGAATCTATCTGAGGGTGGCTAGTCAAGAAATACTAGTTGTGGCTATATATAGTAATGCTTGCCTTTAATCCTAGCACTTGGAGGTAGCCTTGGGGTAGAGGCAGGCAGATCTCTGTGAGCTTAAGGCCAGCCTGATCTACACTGTAAGTTCTAGGCCAGCCAGGGTTACACAGGGAGACTGTCTCAAAGCAAAAATAAACAAAAAAGGAATACTAGTTGTATTATTTAGTTTTCTGTTGCTCTGCTCAAACACCATTACCACAGCAACTTCTAGAAGAGTGAGTTCATTTGGGCTTGCAATTCTGGAGTGATGATGGGTCCATCGTGGTAGAGAAGCATGCCAGTAAGTGGCAGGCATGCTGGCAGGAGCCAGGCAGGAAGCAGAGAGGCAACCATAGCCTCTATAGCAAATGTGGAGTGGGAGGCAGAGAGAACTGAAAGTGGGAGAGGCTGTACCATATACTCCCAGAGCTCACCCCAAGCAGCAGAGGTCCTCTAGCAAGGCCCCCACCTTCTCAACAGCGCCACCAACTGGGCACTAAGTGTTCTAACGCCTGAGTTTATGGGTCCAGTTTCATTCAAATCCCCACATCAGCTGCCTTCCTTAAGTCCTTCCAAGGACTCCTATCAATAGAAAGAGAGACAAATACAATTTTAGCTTCTCTTGTGGACCCTTCCTTTCCTATCAAGGGATCCCCCCTGTGTTCTTGACTGGAGATGCCCACTGAATGGCCTTTTCTCGTTATTTGTGGCCTAAAGTTCTGGTGCCTGAGGTTTGGGGCCTGCCTTCAACTTCATCTATCCAAGCCTGAGATACTAACAGAGACTAAAGGTCTGTGGAAGACATGTGACTAAGTAGCTGTTGAAGATATCTAAAATACATGTTATTTGGAGCATTCAGTCCAGTGGTGCTGGCTTCTATTTGGCCTGAAGTGAGTAGAGTATTCTAGATTTAGATGTTTTTTTTTTTGTTGTTGTTTTTGTTTTGTTTTTTGGTTTTTGTTTTGTTTTGAGATAGGGTCTTCCTGCATAGCCCAGACCATCCTGGAACTCACTGTAAACCAGGCTGGCCTTGAACTCAGAGATCTGCCTGCCTTGGCCTCTTGGGATTAAACACGTGCACTACCACACTGGGTTTGTGCTGTCTTTCTTATCTTTAGTGTTTTTTTTTTTTAATCTATTAACTGCTTTCCTGACTTCTATAATTGCAAAAGTCACCAGCGTGGAGAGTTACCTGTCTCCCTCATCCATCTTCTTCTCTGTGTTTCCTTTGTGCTAAATAGGGATACTATGTGTCCAGATGCCCAAGTCGGAAGCTGTTTTCCTGACCATCTCCTCTGGTCCTGCTCATTGTTCTACTCCTTAGCATGGCAATGTGGATAAAATTCAGTCTTACACACACATCTCTGCTGCTCCCATAAGTTGAACACCCCCGCAACACACACACACACACACACACACACACACACACACACACACACACACA